TTGTAACAACAAGGTGAGAAAACTATGACAGAATTTTTATTTTTGGGAGAACTATCCCTTTCGTTTCAATAAGTGAATAAAGTATTGCTTATTAATTTTTATTTTATTTTGTATTTTTTTAGGTGAGTGGGGAAGAGCCACCTGTATGCCTAGCTTAAAGAGAAAGCGTAAAGGTACATCTGCAAATTTCATATTAGTACATTCAGCTCCAACATTAAAGTAATTAATATTGTGCTTACCATTCAGATGAACCCTTTCCTTGCCTCAAGACAACAACTGTAAGAAAAAGGCCAGACAAAGGTATAATATTTTTTCAATACTCACACCTACTAGGCAAATATCATTGTACAAAGTGCTTAAATTTAGGCTGATCAAATTATAATTTAATTTCTTAAACAACCCCCATTCAATAAATCACAAGTTATCAAAAAATATAAAAGATTTTAATAAACAGTATTGTAAATAGAATGGTTTGAAGAATGTAGTTTAGAATACAGTAGTAGATTTGGAAGTTCATTTTAAAGGGATGGCTCATTTCTGTCATTAATTACTTACCCTCATGTCGTTCCAAACCCGTAAGACCTTCGTTCATATTCAGGAACACAAATTAAACAAAAACTTTTTTTTCAGTTAAAAATTTTTTTTTTTTTTCAATTTTACCTTCAAAAACCCCATATAAGAAATATGAACTTCTAAATACAAATAATTTACACATCCTACAATCCTTATAGCAATAAAGACTAATAATGTTTGAACTGGAAATATGTGCTTCAAAGTAATATATGATAAAAGAATATTGAATTGCTGATGTTAAATTTCATCTAATGAAAAAAAAAAATCATTTTATGTTTTAACAGCAGAAGCAGCTAAACTTCCATTTCCACCCAAACTGCAACCAAGTAATGTTTTTTACTTTCTTTTTACAAATACCACAGCAAATAAAGCACCATATGAAAAGGAAATACAATTTAGGGGTGTGTGATATACAATTCTAATTTTATGGGATTTTGTTGATAATAACAATATTTTAGAGTTTGTTTTGTGCTAGTACGCTTTTGATATTCTTCATATTCTGTGCACAGTAAAAACAATGTAAATCAAATGAAGTGAAGTGAAGTAAATTTCAACAGATTTCCCATGGTCAGGGAGTAGGGAGCAATGGGGGGGGGGCTAATAAATTAGCCTAATTAATCTTAATCTTTATGATATACAATATTTAAAACAAACCAAGCTAAGATGAAAGAGGCTTTTCGACATGAATAGAGATCAGCTACAGCTCTCGTCTTTATGAAAAAAAAACCTGTGCTTCTGTGTTAGACTGAATGTCAATGACACATGATTACATTTTTATTTATAATCTGCCTACAAAAATGGGTGAGACGCGAGTGAAGTTTGAGAAAAGTAATGGTGTGCATACCAGAAAGCAAGGTTAACCATCACATATACCATGAACTCTTAGTTGATTGACCCAAACCTTTTTTTCGCATGGGATTTAGGTAGAGTTGGGGTACTCGTACAAGAGTACAATTTTTTTTAAAAGGACTCGGACTTGTCACGGACTCGGATCATTTTTACTTGGACTTGACTCGGACTCGACTTGGGTGGACTCGAACCCTTCACTAGATTTAGGTTCCAAAACCATGATCTGTAGCAAAGACTTTAGAAATACAAAGACTATGCACTCATATTACTATAAATGGGAGAAAGTGCAACATGAAATATGGTGAATAAGTCCCACTTTCGAAGTAAATGAGCTAATCACTGATTGATGAAGTCATCACGTCACTGCAGCTGCCGTTAGAAGCTCTGGTTACTAGAAATAGTCAGTGCCCACAGAAGCACAATTAGGACTACGCATGTGCATTTGCTGGTCCAGTTTTTTTTTTTTTTTTTTTTCACGATTCAAGCGTATAGAAACAAAATTTATGAGCCCGTTGTTCTCAGATCTTCATTGGTAATTTCAAATGAGACATTTAATCGTAAGCTTGGTGAACAGCTTTGGATTCGCACCAGGGTTCGTTTCAATCGAACCAAACATGACAAGTGTGAACGCACCCTAAATGTGATAACCAAAAACATTATTTGTATTTGTAAAACAAAGTTTCAAGAAAACGAACACAACAAAACGTTCACCAACAGATGGCAGCAAAGCAGCATTTATTGGCTTATCAGCCATTTCCAATCGCTAATAATTTTTTTTTTTCATTTTGCGTTTGAATTTATATTTAGACATTATAAAGTCACTATTATAACATTTCAATTTCAACGTTTAGTGCTCTTTGTGCACAAGTATTAAATAGGAAAAGTCAAAGTCTAATGAAAAACTTATCTGCGAATGAATAACACAAAGAGAGTAAAGAGTGCTTCCTTTACAATCACTGAAGCTGTGAGATCAGAGAAAACTTTTGTTAACTGCCACTTTTGTGAGAACTTCTGTCATAATCCTAATGAATAAACCTGACTGGCGTCTACAGTACTCAACATTGAAGTGGATCAGAAAAAGTTCAAAGTTGTCCTAAGACAAGAATGCATTTTGGTTTTAGGTTTTAGGACAACTTTGATTAAAGGTTGTGATCCACTTCAAATGTTGACTACTGTACACCTTGTTGGGATAAGGATTTAGGCACATGTAGAAACTTGTGAAACTTGGATTCACAATAACAATAATTTAAACATCCCTGCTTGGCCAAAATGTTCAACATAAAATGCCTGTGATTGGCTACAGTACTCAACATTGCAAAATCGTGA